CGAGCGTCACTGATGAGTCTTTTGAAAACGAAACACGCGTCTGGCGTACAAAATTCAAATCCTGGTATCTATGATGAATTTATTTATCTTTTCAAAAGTGAAATCTTTTTTCATGAATATATTTGTTAGTAGTGATGGCAATCGCACTAACCGCAATCAACGAAATAAACGTCGTTCTAATTTTACACTTGATGATTTTTTATCTATATTTAAAAACAATGCTAGACATCAATTATCATGCAAACTGGGTCAAATGCCAATTAGTAAATTACATAATATTTATAACGAGTGTGACACAATATCGTTTTTCAGTCCAAAATATGAGTGTTCACGGATAGTTACAGCTTTTTGTCACCATAAACTGTTCCCTCAAATTGACAAACCTGAAGATCATAAAAAGTATTTTCTAGAAATAAAATACATAAATTAATAGAGGTATTGATTTTATTGATTTGTCTAGTATTTTTCATGACTCTACCGTTAAAAACTTTATACCTTCATATTTTGATAACATTGAACCACCTATAATTCCTTATTCGTATAGAAAACCCAGTAGAAGTTTAATTTTTAATTATACGTCAGTTACATCAGGAGTCTGGATAGAAAATAATGCTCCTTCAACATGAGACTGTGAAACATCGAAGTTTAGATATGATCCCTATGACCATGTAATTACAGAGGACCTCAACACCGTTCAAGACCGAGAGGTTATAAACTTTCTAAAAAAAGGACCAAAATATCGTCCACTATTACTTAGAATATTAATAAATTTTTTTCTGAGTTAACTATTTGAAGCATTCTTAGAATATTTATATTTTTATCTGAGGTAACTATTTGAAGCATCCTTCGAGTCAGCTATGAGGTAGTTTTGAAAAATAATTCTGTGTTGTCATTATGTTTGTGTATGTGTTGTTTTGTTTGAATGTAATATATTGTACCCTGTTTTATGGAGAGGGCTTACTTAGGCTTTGCCTGTTGCCCAATCCAATTCAATTTATTTGAGTAAAATATTGTTTAAACTATATCGTCCACCGTCGAAAATAAATTGGCATGAGTGTCGTCAGGTTATTAAAGATGCTCTTTAATCCTATTGTAAAAAATGGTGTAAACGGGAGAAATCTGAATAAAAATCACTTGATTTCTATCTAAATAAATGTCTGAATATTGTTGATATTCGCATATCACATTTCGAAAATAATTTAGAAATAAATAAAAGAGTAAGTAATACGCTCATTTCTAGGATTAAAAACAAAATTCAAGTACTATCGAAGCGTTTTGTGTTCGTACCGGCCGACAAAGCAGCCAACAATGTGATGGTGGTATGACGTAAATACATACGGAAGTCCATAAGAATGAAATTATACATTCAACTACATTTAAGGCCGTACGCTCCACAGAGAGTCATATAGTAAAAATAATCATGCCACTACCACAGCTCAGCTTTATTCCTCTGAACATTTGAAGGTCCCCATTATGTATTGGTTACCTAAACTACACAAAAAACCCGTAAAACATCGTTTCATCTCGGCCTCTAGTAAGTGTTCCACTACTAATCTTTCAGTGCTTTTAACGAGTTCCTTAACTACTATCAAAGAACTTATCGTTAATTTTTGCAATAAAACATATGAAAACAGTGGAATTAACCATTTTTGGAGTGTAGCAAAATCGTTGGATGTTTTAGATAAATTACGTGCTTTTGATAGTCCTTTTGATTCGGTTGACAGTTTTACTTTTTCGTCTTTATACTACACTTCAACACAATCTTATTATTTAAAGAAAAGTTTTCCTATCTAATTAAATGGTCGTACGATAAATCTGGTTGCAAATCTATTTGCTGCAACTCATATAAAGCCTTTTTCTCTAATGAGAAAGGTAAATGTGCTAGACATACATACTGGAGGTGTGATGAGATTATTAACACTAAATTTTCTCCTTGACAATATTTATGCACGTTTCGGCAGTAAAGTTTATCGACAGGTTGTAGGTATTCCTATTACATCATTGGCCCCTTTGATAGCAGACTTGATCCTTTACTGTTATGAATCACAGTTTATGACCAAACTCAGCCAAGAACCGTCTAAATTCCATCTAATTGATAAATTCAACAACACTTACCGTTATCTTAATGATATTTTTTCGTTAAATATACTGCTGAAATTTACCTAAAGGAACTTACTTTAAATAAATCAAATATTAACAGCAGTAATTTTAGATATTTCAGTATGACACCAGAAACTCTGCACAAAAATTTACGACAAAAGGGATGATTTTTCTTTCCCTATTGTTAATTTTCCCTTTTTGGACGGTGATGTTCCTTTGGCACCGTCTTACGTGTTTATATATCCCAACTCGTTCGTTATGCTCGTGTTTGTAGTGACGTTTTGGATTTCAATGAGCGTAATCTATGTATTACTAGTAAATTATTAAGTCAGGGATTTCGTTACCACAAATTACTTAAAACCTTTACTAAATTCTTCCATAGATACACAGATTTGGTCTTCAAATTCGCTTGTACCTGTAGAAAACTTATTTCAAACGGTATATTACATCCTAAATTTTACGGTGATGTTGTAAACCGAGCCCGGAAATTTAGATACGATCCGGGTAAACTTATCAATCCTTTAAATAAATTTATTCTAAAAGTTACCTATTCAACACTGTAATTAAATCTTTGAATATTGTTTTTATTGGTATAAATATTGATTTTGTTATCAGTAAATTAAAACCATACTAAATATTACACATATTTACTTTCACGGTACTACAATCTGTCGATACCTATAGTTTGGCATTTCACAAGGTCATGTTTTTCTTTGACTGTTAATGACGTCTTTACACTAAATCCATTGGATATTGGATGTGTACTGATTGATATTTTAGTCTTAGATACATGTTTTTTTTTATTAGTTGTTATTGGCTTTGAACTAGCTGTCAGTAACTGTTAGTACTCTCAGATCTGTACTTAGCGTCTTTTTGTTGTGGGGATGTATAAGTACCCGTCCACGTCCACTCTGTGTTTTTGTTAAATGTATTTCTATTTTTATCCATCTGATGAGTTAAGCATTTTTCAACTGATTTTTATAGTTTGTTCTTATGTTATACTGTTACACCACTGTCCCAGGTTAGGGGGAGGGGTGAGCGCTCACAAACATGATTAACCCCGCCACATTCTTTATGCGCCTGTCCCAAGTCAGGAGCCTGTAGTTCAGTGGTTGTCGTTGGTTCATGTCTGTCATATTTGTTTTTCGTAAATTGTTTTGTTATAAATAAGGCCGTTAGTTTTTTCAATTGAATTGTTTCATATTTTTCATGTTGGGGCCTTTTATAGCCGACTATACGGTATGGATTTTTCTCATTGTTGAAGGCCGTACGGTTGCCTATAATTGCTTATATCCAGTTCATTTGAACTTTGGTTCTCATGAGTTTTGACAACTCATAGTTGTCTCATTGGCAATCATGCCACATCGCCTTATTTTTATATACTATATGTCGTCATTAGCTTCATATGTTGTTAAAAAGTATTTATACAGGATATACCTCTTCATCTCCTAATTAAACGTCACTTTCCACGTCAAGTGCTACTGCAAACGTCTTACGTAAAATATTAGGTCATTTGATATTCTGAATATCTATAATCAATTTCAGTTTTCAATGAATATCAAAAAATGGATTCAATACACAAGACCATGTTGTGAAACAAATTCAAAGGTGTAATTCCTGATTGATTTTTGTTTGCTTAAGGTCATACGATAAATTTTGCATGCGTATTGAGAACAAATAGGTTCTGCATAGTGGATCTACAGAAAGGACGGGAAATATAGACTGCCCCAGAAACAAAAGAATGTTTGTTAGTCTAAGATATAGCAATTTTGCGTGACACAGATGACCTAGTGACCTTTAAAAGAGTTATACGATTAAATTAATCAACAATTACCACAACTAAATATATTCCCGAACATCTGTTAATTTATCAGAATAAAGTATTGGTGTGTGGAAAAGGCAGATTTGTAATAAAAAATAAGCTTTTTTAAAAAAATGATATTACTACTTGCATTTTGTTTTCCTTAAGATACTTACTTGGACATTTAATCATTTTTAGTAAATTGATTAAGTACCTGACCAATTGATTTGTAGCAATTAGTTGGGTAAACATAATAAACTTAACCACAACTTCAATGTATTTTTTAAAAGGGCTTTACTATTTTTAGATACAAGAAGTTTGATGACGGGACAGTCATCTGGCATAACATCAAGTGCTTCCTACCCAGGCGATATGTTGTATTTTATGCCAGAACACACAATATCTACCAATGGTACTCTTGCAGCTCTAGAGTTTGAGGCTATTGCAACAGGATTAATCTATGTCCAGGTATAAATGTAGGAAATATGGTTAGTTTGTACCCTTTCAGTGTACTTTAATTCGTTTACTTTTTTCTCAGTTAAGAGTAATAAGTTGCTGAACATCATTTAAACGATGAACGCAAGAACTCTCGAACCTTCTGCACAGCGGACACAGCCGATATTTTACCATTGCTAGAACAACAATAATCATAGCAATTTTAAGTAGAATAGCTGTCTTGTTGTATATTACAAGTATTATGAGTTTATAAGTTGCTTAGCAAGGTTTCATACTCCATTTAATAAGTACTAATCGTTTCTTATTTTGATAGGTGTATCGACCATTTTGCACACCAGAGTATTACTTCTGCCCTAAAAGTAGTTCCTGTATACTTAACGGAGTTCCGTGTAACAGTCAACCTTCTGCTACTCGATGGAAACACCAATGTGGTTCAGGAACAATATATAGTTTGGTAAAACGTAGATGCGTTGACATGTCGACTGGTCAACTCGTTCCAGATACAGACATACAGGACTGGTCGTCGATGCCAATGAAAAACTACACACTGGTGGGCCAAATAGCTATTACCATTTCCACAATAGGTCAGCAGTTTTATGAGATTCCAGACATTGACTTGCTGTCAGTTGAACAAGGTGATGTTATGGCTTTGAAAGAACCTAGTGGAAGAATAGCCATTCTCACTGCAACAGGAAAGAATTACGAGTTTTTCTATGACGTAAACAGTGAAACAGCATGGGGCATCAGATTAACATCGGGATACAACTTGACAACAACCCCATCCACATTTACATCACAACATGCTCTAAAGACATTCATAGAAAAGCCATCAAGGATAAAATTCCGGCATACTTTCCTTGGAACTGATGAGTTTTATAACGTTACAGCTACGGTACAAAATGACGTAACAAATCCATCAAGACAAGCTGTTGCTTTAGTTGAACAGTTAATCCTCATATCAGATGTTCATATAGAATTACCATATGCAGGTAAGACTACAAAGATACCAAACAAAATGGTGATTTGGTTAAACTGTTGATTCTTATTTTATTGCGAATATAGAAACAGTCTTTTACCATACGCTCTTAAGAATCTCTTTTGCAAGTAAAAAAGTTGTTCTGTAGAACATATCAATATTAGAGCAAATGAACCATAGGGTGCTTACCATTGATAAACATACATGCAGAAATACGATTATTCTTATACCCCAACACAATTTTGAGCTTTGTACCTTATTGATAAACTATTGTTTAAACTATTGATTATACTATCAATTTTTCATCTGTAATCTCTTACAGTAAAAATAAGTGTATCTTATCTCTCGAAAAAATAGTAATAACAAAATTACCGAACTCCAAGGTAAATTAAAAAAAGGGGGAAGTCCATAAAAACAGATAAAAGCAATTGCTCTACTATATAAACGAGTATTTTATTTTAATCTAAATTTACATGCTCAATGTTATTTTCTGTGTATAAAGTTGCCTCTATTACTATGTAGTAATTTTACAGACCATATTGTATTGTTTTCAGTGGCAACAAATGATTCTTTTCATTTCAATGTATCACAACACAATGGGACAAAACCCGTGTATACCTGGGATTTCGGGAATGGCGAGGGTATCATCACCACAGACAGATACATAAAACATACTTACAATGAAACTGAAGTTTACATTGTTACTTTTACAGCTACTAATGCAGTCAACAGTATCACTGATACGGTATTTATACACTGATAAATCAGACAAGCTTGTTAAAATTATAGTGCTTGTTAGCATTGACGGGTATAAATTGCATTCATTTTGAATGTCAACTTAAAAATAAACATGGCATTGCATTCAGCAGAGGAATATATTCAGGCAATATTTTGAATTGAGTTATCCTCTTTGGTCCGTTATGGTAGTAAGATCAGATAAATTTATATGCCACTCATTGCTTAATGCAACTTCTGTTCTTTTTAATAAATGCCTTTTTTGACAAGTACTAGTATGGTAATACACATGCGTATCATTTTGTAAATTTGATGTCTGCGTATATATTATGAATAAATTGTCTGCCATGGGCATCGATAAGATCAAATAATGTTTACCCCACTTCACTATGTTGTGTGTACAAGCAAACACAGTTAGAGAATAAGACCGGAATGTAAATATAGAGCAGTGATGAGGATACTATTATCTACCAAAGATAACTTGACTCAGGGTTGACGTTATTCTTTATTGCTGTAATTCATACTTCCATATTCGATATTATTTACCCGATTATCAGTTAAATGGGAAACGTTTCATTTTTGAAATGCAACAGTTGTAGATCACCACTTGCAAACATCCAGTAAAGGTTTGTAACACTATTGTGAGGTAATATTTATTAGTTGATGAAAATTAATTATCACCATTGTATTTCTTTTCATGGGAGATCTAAAAGTGTTCCATCTTTATGCATTAAAACTCCTTCTAAGAAAGTATTGCATTGTAATTAAACTTAACATATATAACTTATGTCCATCTTTGAATAAAATTACGTAACCTTGTAATGAATTGCTAATAAAATTAGATTTTTGAAAGATGATTTCCTTTAAAAGAAAAAGTACGGGACTAGAAAGGAAATCAGTGTTAATTTGAAGTAAAGGAAAATTGTTATAATTCTTCACGTGATTTCTGCTTACATTTTGCAGTATACAGTCATAGTACAAGATCCGATTCAGAATTTAACTGTGGAAGAAGATCATATACCATCCATATGGGGAAATTTCTCGACAGTCCTATGGAACATAACACAAGGTATGTTATTCTGTGTAGACATATTGATTTCTTTAGAGTCATTAAAATAGATGAGTTTTACTTATGAGTTTGAATGTTCCTTTGTTATCTTTCTCCTCTCGTTTAACATATATATGTAGTTACACATACATCATTGTAAGTATGGAATTGTTTCCTTATCCCATTGAATCAATCACTTAATACATCAGTTTCCTGTAAAAACGAAATCACAATTATCAATTCATTTCTTCATTACAGGAACCCAAACACAGATCTCTATTGATGAATACTGACATAAAACTTTAAAACTAAAATAACTGCTTATAGATATGTAGTCTGTCACGATATTGTTAGGACACATACACAATGCAATAATTCACTTATACTTGATATAACGGAGAAAATTAAAATCCATCTGTAATTTTCATAAGCAAATCAGATATGATTAAAAAAATTTAGCATGATGCCTTCATAATCTTTCTAGACTATGTAGTTTTACATGTAACATGGTATACTTTTAATAAATATAATATTGTATTTCATGCAATATTTAGAAAAAGTGAATTTATCATTTGCGCTTTATATAGGTACCAACGTCACATATAAAGCAATTATGGGAGATGGTACTATGTACATATTTAGTTATCCGTTCACCAACATTGTCGTGGAAACTATAGTTCAAGACAACAACTCAACAAATTCAACAGAAGTGCAACCTATAAATAGTAATACGACCACTTCAACACCACCGGTATCCTTGCAACCAAAGCATGATGGAACGTCAAATGGTAATGCTAATTTTATGCCGTTGACTCGATTTCAAATCAGCTCCCTAATTCCTTGTCCAGCTTTGATAATTTTATCGGCTCTGCAATATTTATAAAAGGCTTTTGATTTTCAAATATTTTGGGTCGAGCATCACTGAAGAGACATAAATTGTCGAAATGCGCATCTGGTGCACTAAACATTGATACCGTTAATGGTATTCCAGGGAACCTTAAACACCAAATATCATGTTTCTCCTCTTTATTTTATTGTGAGCCAAATAACTTTGTGGGTTCCAGGAACAAAACATGGAATTTGCAATATCAATAAATATTCCAGTCCGTTTGGAGTTCAGATGGACTGATTTTGTCTTGTTTTTACTTGGACCCACGCAATAATTAAGCAACGGTACACAACCTCTATATTTTTCGTTTAGCCTACAAATTTGATAGGAAGCAAATCTTTTTTCTCTGTAGCACCCTAAATTTCAACTTCACATCAATATATGAGCTGTAAGTCATTAAAGTGCAACATTTAAGAATTGGCATCATGATTTTGTTATTATCTGTAAAAAATTATGTATGAATTATGCTTAAGTGCCAGTCTTTTTAAGAATCAGGCAATTTAGAAAAATTTCAAAACATGGCCGAAAAAAAACCCACCGACCTAACCATCCTATTTTGAAGTTACCCTTATCCTGAGTTAATAATGGTAGGTTTTTCGTTTCTACGTGTCTGGTAATTCGAGAAATCTCTAGATAACTTTTGGTTAGAATGATAGCAAATTATGGAGTTTTTAGTGCATTTCAACCAAATTATATCTTTAATTACCAGAACAGGAAAAGGAAACGAATATTATTTTCGTGCACCATTATACATTTTGAACATAAATTAATGTAAACTTGAGTGGGTTTTTATTTGTCATGTTTTCACCACTGCCTGATTCTTAGGCAGATTGGCACTTAATAAATGTATAACAAGCCGACCACTATAAGGCACACAAATAGTAACCTTTCAAATAACAAAATTGACCTATAAAAAAACAGGATTCATTAAATAGTATAAAACATTTATATAAGTACTCATCAAAGACACTAAGCTTTGTACGCCAGAAGCGCATATCGTCTTCACAAGACTCACCAGTGGTATTCGATTCAATACAGTTGGAAAACCAAATCAATTAGAAAGCTGAAAAGCATTGAAAACTAAATACTCCATTGAGTTGTGCTAATAACGGAAAAAATCCCCAAATAACATCATTTAAATCTTACATGTTTAAAGCTGAAGAATATGTCCTACGTAGAAAAAAAAACTTCATGGTCAACTCTCCGTCAGTCCGTCAGTTTGAAACTATCTGTTTTCCACACTTTCATCTGTACTACTTGAAACAACTGATTAAACATTTTTATACAGTCATATTATTAAAAGTTACACACTGAGTTCAAGTTGAAAAACTTTTCACCAGTAACCATGCGTGTCTCAAATAAGTTTAAATTCATCCAAAGTAAACATTTCAGCCGGTAGGTGTCATTCTATTGCATTTCAATACCATCAGCATGATTGTTATCTAGATATACGTGTTTCTGTTTAAGATATATCTTTTTGATGGTAGCCGGTTTATCCAAATATATTTTAATATTTTCATGTTTTAGAATTTTACTTATGTAACTATGATATTTCTTTACTTATTTTGTTTTTATAGTTGCTCCACGTGAATAATGTTCATTGATGCATGTGTTTTTCAGGGATGGAAGGCTTCATATCACATCTTTATTTAACTCCAGACTTTTATACATTTATGCTGATAGCAGAAAATCACGTCAGTACAATGAACGTTACATTTATTATTCCTGTCCAAGATTTGATAACGGGTTTATTAATACTAACCACATCACCAATACCTTTCTATACCACACGAAATGTGTATATGTCACTTGTTAGTGGATCTCACTTAGAAATTACAGCGGTATTGAATTCTTCCATTTTAAATAGCACTAGCTTTGATGAAACAGCAGGTACTGGGTACGTTGTTATAGTCCCTGATTCTTATAACATTACCGGAGTTCATTTTCTGGAAGTGAACATGACAAACCTGGTAAGTCCTGTAGTTTCATACTCAATAGAAGTATGGATTGATTACCTGATTACCAGCCTGTCTGTAGATATTGATAGATCCTACATCCCTGTCGGGGATCATGTAACATTCGTAATTGGTATGTATTGGTGTTCTAGATTTACATCATACATCGAATTTATGGATTCAACACCTGAAGAGAGCTCTTATTATGATGTATTGCTGGATCCTGAAACATTCAACTATACTCACACCTATAGTTCACCAGGCATCTACCCTGTAAACTTTACAATTAAAAGTCCCATTGACTATCATAATAGTCAACATGATATCTATGTACAGTACGGTGTCAAGAACGTAGACGTAAAATGGACACAGCTTGTTAGAATTGAACCTGGAGCGAGCGGTGGTACAGCTAAAATATGGCTCAGATTTATGGGTGGAGTCCCCATACCTACTATGGCTTCATATTTTATCGACTTCGACGACAATTCTACATCAACAGGCTCCTTTGAAGAGCCTATTATACCATCGATTACTGCACCAGTTGAGACTACCATTGGAATTGATTGCGAAAAAGTTATACAACTTTGTAATCAAATAACATATGATGTAAATAGTACAACAAATACGACAGCTGAGACAACCACAGTGTCAGATAACACCACATTACCTGGTTGTCCAGTAGATCAGTATAATTTTTGTATGTTAACTGTACCACCAGCTGGACCTACTGCAACTTCAATCATCGCTACTACAATGGCCCAAGATTTTTTCTCTATTCCAATAAGTTATGTTTATACAATGGAAAACACGCATAACGTTTCTGTAAACGTTTCTAATTTAGTTAGCTTTATGTTCTTCACTTTACCAATTGAAGCCGATAAACCGATCTATGGACTGGTGTTTACGCCATATCCACCATATGTGCCGATAGATACTTATGGTATTTTGAATATTTCAATGTCGTGGGGGAGTCGTGCTACCTGCACGTTTTATATAGGTGATGGAAGCCCAGTAGTATCATTACCATGTGATCATTATGCACAGGTGTCGTATTCGTATTTGTTTTCGGTGGTGGGGGTGTTTCATTCAAAGGTATTCTCAATTAACAGTTTAAGCTCCGTTAACGTTTCCTCCTCTACGGGACCCATTATTGTTCAGATTCCGGTCACTAAGTTTTCATTACGTTGTCCCACTGACCGTAATTACATTGGTCCACCATGGACTGTAGAATACAAGAGAAATGTCTCATTCGAACTTCTTTGGGATTTTCCAGGTAATCGTTACCCTACAAATGCATCATATACAATAGACTTTGGTGATGGAACAGTTTCTTCATCAGAGCTCCTCCCAACCACATTTGAAAAAGAATCGTATTATGGATGTCCATCAAAGTGCAGACATAAGGTGTTTACTTTCTATCATACTTACCTAAGAGGCGGAAACTACAGTGTAAACATAAACATCTGGAATTTGGTGAGCGACGAGACCTACTCGGCTAAACATGACTTGTACGAAGGTCTTGTTGGACTAGAGCTTACAGTATCAGATTTTGATTCAAGTACAAATGTAGAAAAACCTGGTGGCGGGCCTCTTCAGAATTATTTTGCACAGGAACATCAAGTTAAGTTTGTGGCGTCACTTGAACATGGATCACACGTGACGTACAAATGGACCTACGGTGACACTATGAATGATACTGACGAGTCATTTTTCTACAAGAATAACGCGTATCATATGTATAACAATGATATCTGCTACACTGTCAAATTGGTTGTTGAAAATTTTAACAATAGTTTGGATCTGTCACGATATATATGCATCCAGAGAGGATGTTTTGGAATCGGTCTTTTTTGTGACAATCCACGTGCAAAGAATTCTACATTTGTATATCAGATACACCCAGGAATGGTTGGTTCAAACGCATGTTATATGATGGATCTATCGGACATGGCAGACCCAAATCGTTATATCATGTTTGGCGATGTTACACAGTGTTCCACAATACCGGAATGGAATGATATTTGGAATAATACTGACACACTTCGGTTTGACAAAGATTCTGATATATGGTATGCTAACAAGACTGCGAATCCTTCTAATTACAACCTAACTCTAGATTCAACATTTATATTCGAAGGTTACTATGATGTCAGTTTGAAATGCCAAAATCAAGTATCTAATGAAGGATTTGATTTCCGGGTAGGTGTAACGAAAGGACCGTGTTGGTGGCCGTATGTTAATGTAACAAAACCGAATACGTGTGATGAACCAATGTGTGATCCTGATAGACCCGGATTAAAAACTCACTATAAATCACAAAAGCTAATCGTTAATTCTAATGTCGTCATCAATTGCACTGCTACGAAAATTGCATACTTCTGGTGGCAGGTATATAAAATTGACGAAGATTCAGGCAATGAGACAGAAATAGTGAACCTAAATGGAGCTGACGTGTACTCTATTGGAGCTAGACAACTTATATTAGAACCAAGAACATTAGATTATGGTTTATACCGGTTCAAATTAAATGTCAGTATGAATGAAGTTATAGGAATGGTTACTGTTGACGAATGCTTTATTCGTATCATTGCAACACCCCTGTCTGTAGAAATAAGTGGCGGAGACTTCATGATGAGACGTTGGGGGGATGCTGATCCTTTAAATATCGATGCTTTGTCCTATGCGTATGATCCTGATGTTGATCCGAGTGATAAATCCGGAATGACTTTCATTTGGACGTGCAGGAGATTGTGTGAGACATGGCCTGACTATAATTATGACTGGACTATCAGGGAACAATTTAAGACGAATTGCACATACTCACAAGGTGAAGCACAGAATGATAGAGGTTGTTCTAAAGTCGACGGAGCAAATTATGCGGGTATGTACGATAGAAGCACATCATAATTTCTTGTATTGGGTAAAACAAAGCTAATTCGTACTTTTCGAATATCAATTGTTAATATTTATAAATGTTGGTACACATTATGTGCCTTCAGTCGTTCGTTCGTCCTAAGACGTCTCACATTAACTCATTATTTAAAAATGATATGGATATTATTGCAAAGTAACAGATTCTACGAGGAAAAGAATATATAGGTCACCGCACGGCCTTCAACAATGAGCAAAACCCATACCACATTGTAAGCTATAAAAGACCCCGAAATGACAAATGTAAAATAATAAAACGAACAAACTAACGGCATGATTTATGAACCAAACAATATACAAAACAAAAAAGTGATATACAGCCACAATCGACAACCACTGAATTACAGGCTCCTAACTTGGGACAGGCACATACATAATATGTGGCGGGGTTAAACATGTTTGCTGGCGCCAAACCCTCACGCTTACCTGGGACAGTGGTGTTACAGTACAACATAACAATCCACTATAAAAATCAATTGAAAAGGGATGAACTCACCAGATCGATACAAAGCAAATAAAAACACAAAAGACACACACAAAGTACTGATCTGAGAGTACTCGCAGTTACTGAAATCTAGTCCAAAGCCAATAACAACTTCTTATGAAAAAATCATTTGCCTAAAATACTTTCAGATTTCCTGTTATGGAGTAATGGGAAATAAGGGTAGAGGTCTGTCATAGCGCAGCTGTCTTTTGTCTTTTGAAGCGATTTTTTATAAGCTAGGTTGCATGAAAGTATTAACATAGTTTATAATTGAAAGAACTATTTTATTTCATCAACTTGAAACGTCTTACTGGGCCACATGTCTCACAAAAGTTTTAATGTGCATCGCCTCTTATCTGTAAAGAAAGGAAAAGAGGGGAAAGCTGGTTATTTTTGTTCTGCCCTAGGCCTAAGAAACATATAATTCACATCAATCCACAGCGATGTGTGCTTTTATTGCATATTTTGATATAACGGATTATATCACATGGCCATTTATTAAAATATTTTAAACATCGCTTTCAAATAATTTCCCAGTTAACACAAAGTCCAAGTTCAAAATAATATTGATATTATCTTATACAATAATTCAAGATAATAAATGTTTTTTCTATTGACAGGAATCCTTCCTAATGCATCGTCTGGTATACTTAATACGCTTTATCCAGGTGATATGTATGAAAATGATGAGGTGGAAATAAAGGTGTACGTCATTAAAGGTGATAGGATAGTCTCTGATTCACAAAACATATTCATTGCTGAAGGAGACCCACCAATCGTAGGTCTGAAGTAAGTGTATATCTCGATTTTTGTAGAGCCTTCGACTTTTGTCGAAAAAGCGAGACATAGCGATCCTACATTCCGTCGGCGTCCACAAATATTCACTCTGTGGTTAAAGTTTTTGAAATTTTAATAACTTTCTTAAACTATCCTGGATTTCTACCAAACTTGGACAGAAGCTTGTTTATGATCATAAGATTATATTCAAAAGTAAATTTTGTAAAAAAAAAATTCCATTTTTTCCGTATTTTACTTATAAATGGACTTGGTTTTTCTGCCAGGAAACATTACATTCACTCTGTGGTTAAAGTTTTTGAAATTTTAATAACTTTCTTAAACTATCCTGGATTTCTACCAAACTTGGAAAGAAGCTTGTTTATGATCAAAAGCTAGTATCTAGAAGTAAATTTTGATAAAATTTTGTTCCATTTTTTCCTTATTTTACTTATAAATGGACTTAGTTTTTCTTCCAGTCAACATTACATACAGTCTGCAGTTTAAGTTTTTAAAACATTTATTAGATTCATAAATTATCCTGGATTTTTACCAAACTTGGACAGAAGCTACTTACAATCAAAAGATAGTATAGAGAGGAATATTTTTATTAATTGTTTTCCTCATTTTTGTTGAGCCTGCGATAAACAGCAAAAGTAGGCGAGACACTGGGTTCCACCGAACCCTTACGAATTTTTTATTAAATAATTAAGACTTTTGTTGTAAAAGAGAATCAATTGCTTACATCCACTTCACTTGAACTCTGGATAGTTGTCTCATATGCAATCATACAACATATTCTTATTTGTGCGATTAAAAAATAAATTAGGACTGCAACATCACAAAATGCGACATTTATCCGAATTTTACTTGTCATGAACAACTCCATATGCTTTTCCGTCCATGGCACCTGTGAGCAATTCCGTTGTTTGGTTGAGTTCCGGTTGCTCGGTCTTTAGTAATCTACGTAGTGTTTTGTTGGCTGTTGTTTGTCTTTTTATCCTTTTTCTTTATGATCATAGTTTTGTCTGTCTTTTTTCGACAGATTTATGATTTTTTATGGTCACTATGGTAATTAACGCCTCTTTGGTTCAAAAGTATGTATTTAGATATATCCAGTGTGTGTTTATAGCTGGTTAGACAACAGTCTTCATCATATGGTTCTGTGAGTAACCTTTTAAGAAATGATCAAGAGATTATAAATTTTCAAATCACTTGTAAATGGGGAAAATCGGTCATAAAATCCTTGTTTATATTTGTTATTGACAAATAAAAGAAAAAGGAACCTCTGATCGAGACAGATTGAGAGGTACAATCACCTATAGCACTACACAGTTTGTAAATCATTGGACAAAAGATTCAGCTATGATGTATGAAAAAATGTAGCCAACATATGATGTGTCAGTAAACACCAGAGACCCCCGATGGATTCAAGGCAGTTTTTGTGGGTACCCACTGGTGATGCCCTTATAGCTTCCCAATAGTCGAATTATTAAGTAGCTCAAAAGGTCACGATAACTAGCTGTTAAATTAATGCTTGTTTAAAATTAAACATTGAAAGTAAAATAGATTTATTATGATTCGCTGAATTCGGT